GCAGAAAGTGGAGACGAAATCAGACGATAGAACATTGCTTGAGAGCAGGAAAGGAGGTGAAAGGAGACAATTTTAAAGAACATTTTTCGGTCGCTTACCGGATTCGAACCCGAGATCTTTGAATGAGAGGCGAACATCTTAACCTCTAGGCCACAAGAGCCCCCACACACATCATTGGTAATGCATTTCGAAAGCAACGTCAAAACAAAACCATTTACAAAATTTTGTCACATAATATTACATGAGTAGTCTATCCATAACTTAAAAGAAGAATAACGTAAATTTTATAATAAAGTGTTTCGATCAAAGCAGAAAATAGAGAATTGCAAACGAAGAACTTTTTCTATTTGAGTATTTCCTTACAGTTCCTTGCTAGCGTTATCCTCCAAGTCCATGGTGTCCAGCGTCTCAAAGCACAGCAGACTGTCCTCTAGGTCATGGTGATCTAAGTAGTTCTTGAAGAAAACGTGTTCATAAACTGTAAACTTGAAGCAAAGTTTGAAGGTAGACTAGCAAAAATGAATTGCAGTGGAGTCTGCTTTATCTGAAATCTGTGGCACTGACAGGTTTTCTTCGGTTTAGCCACGTATTTGGCTCAGAGAAGGCTGCTCAAATAGTGATGACTGTTGACAGCGTAGAGTTGGGAACGCCATGCTTGCAGCAACTTTCACTTAATGTTTTTTATCTACTTCTTTTAGTACATTGACTGTAAATTGAGTGGCAGCATGTATGAATAGTGGTTTCTCTTCAACATTTTCTGCTTGCTTAATTAATATGTCATACAGTAACACAGAACGCACAAAAGAATTGATCAGCACACGATATTGTGCTCTGAAAATAGAAAACGTGTTTCTTTGGTAAGTACAACATTTCATGTCTGTAAAATAGAAATTGTTTATTTTTCCAGAAAGGGTAAATTTTCTTCGGGGACTGAGACCTCATACCGACACACTAGTGCATGTCCAAGAAACTACCAAGCACCTATCATCCCAGTGAATAATTCATGCGGTCAGCCTCAGTCTGATTTTTCGCTCAGTCAGATTCAATACAAGGTGCTTGATTTAAAGTAAAAGAAGATAGTATAGTATAACACGGAACACAGAAGACTCGAAATCAGGCATCCGTAGAACTGTGCCTGCGGTCCTGGTTTTTTTTCTTCTTTATTTTGGAAAGATATCCCTCGAACTACGGAGGCTGGTCAGATGAATTCGAGCTATCCGTGTTATACTGTATATTTTTCTGGTAAGATAATGGGTGGTTCCTGCTTTAATATCCTAGATCCTTTATGATAGCTGCAACCTTTTCAAAACCAAAACCAGACTGAATAAGTTCATGCCAGAAATTATGCGAGATAGAACATGGTAGTATACTTTGCAAGAAAGTATCTACTATAAAGCCACACGTCCCAACAAATCTTAAAATAAATACATTTTCTCTTTACCTCCTGTGGTATTCTTGAGTCGAACGAGGAACTTTGAGTTTTCCAAGGAGAAATGAATGAAGTCAGAGGATTATCTTCAGTTACGTTTGGCTTCATTTCAGGTACTTTGATTGGAGTAAATCCAGAAATCATTGGTGATGGTTCTGTATGCTCAGGGCTTTTCAGACCACCAGACCATGGTGGTGAATTCATCGTGTTGCAAGCTGGAGTGCTAAAGTTGAGCTGGAAAGTAAAGAAATTATATTATAAATTAATTTGTCTAGACAAAAAACAAAAGTATTATCATGAGAATATTTATTCATAAAGCCCAAAATAAATGTGAAAGATGAAAATTCAGAAAACACAAAATATCTTTTCAGGAGAAATAAGATGCTCCCTTAATTCAGTGCGAGTGGAAACAACTTCATGTAATGCTTATCACCATAGACAATGTCTTTGACACACGAGAGATGGCTCTAATTTAACATTTCTTCCATGTTGAGCTTTGTGTTTTTCTTTTGGTCTCTCCAAAAAGTATGGGAAGATTAAATCTTTTGGGAAATGGTTACCTTATTCTTAGCATTTTCTGTTTTAAACAGGCTTTTACTGACTGGCCAAGTCTTCAGTGCACTGACATCTCGCTTTGGGGTCACAAAATTTCCTTCAGACTGTTTCACTGCAAAATAGAAGTTTTCAAACTTCAAAATAAAACCCTTGCGATAAAAAACAGTAATACACATAAAAGGAAAAAAATAAGCAAACAGCTCTCAACCTCAGCCATGCATTTTTCAAGTTTTTTTCTAAAAAGTGGGACATATTTGTTAAAGAAAGAGCTGATAACATTTTATTTACTACCAATTTTGATTAAATCGTTTTCAACTGTTCTAAAAGTATTCTTAACACATTTCATACTGCGCAAGTGGAATCCCAATTAAGAAGAAAATAGCAAGCTGGTACACAGAGAGAAATTTCACAGATAATCCACATTTCCACTGGTATGTCCCAACACAAAACATTATAGGTTGGAATTTCCAAAATTCACTTGGGAAGAGGAAACCATTCCTGGAGTGCTATTAATTATATCTGAAGGTTGACCATATTATTATCATTGAAAAATAAACCAAAAATACTAATGGAGTGAGCACACAAGACGAAATTCAAACGCCATTGTTGCATATTTGCTCAGTCATGTGTACAATAATTTTTCATAACATTAGTCTCTTCTGATCAGCTCTCAGACAACTTTTGTGAGGGGAATTCCTTTTGTGTTACGTCAGTGAACTACAAATACAATATGGTGGCATTATTTTTAGCTAACTTGGAGACAACAATCAGTGCACAGTGGAAGAATAAAAGACAGAAAATGAACAAATCATAATTCAAGCAATACCTGGCACATTCAAATTAGTTGCTGTGTTGTTTCCATGTAATTCTTGTTTACTTTCATCAACAATACTGCTGTCAAAAGTTTGAGCTTTCAAATTGAAGACATGAATCCCTGGAGGAGTCTGAGGATCATGCAAGTTGCTGTTCCTGTCAAAGTTTGGGACAACCGCGCAGTCACTTACAGATAGATCCAGCTCCCTTTGTTTGTTAGAGTTGTCGTAATCATGACTTCTTTTGGAATCAGTTGCCTTAACAGGTGTAGGATGAAAAGGTACCTCCTGGAGAGAAGGCAAAATGTAGAGACAAATGAAACCTATATGATTCGACATTATAGCAGAAATTTTCAAGAACTAAAGAAGTGAACTACCAAATGAAGGACAGCTACCTTATAAGATTGTTGAAAACTTCAGAAATGATTTGTTAAAAAACCCTTTAGTGTCTTTAAAAATGAACAAATTTTGGCTTTTTGTCATATCAGGGACGCAGTAAAAGCTGTTTGAAATTATGGGGAAGATGAGGAATATGGGGATGAGGAAAGTGACACTATCAAAGACCCGAGGTCCACATATGTCGTGAGTGGAACATAGCCAAAAGGATTCCATTGACATTTGAGCCTAAATAATATAATTCAAGTGCATGTTTGAAATCAATATCACTTAAACGTTCAGAATACATACATTTTTATATGGTTTATTCTTCAAAACAACAGGCACGTAATCAAAAGGAACACATACCCTAAAGAAAATCAGTGAAAAGGTTTAGTACATGCTGCTGTCCTGGCTAATGAGCTTAGAAATCAGTGCTGACCGTAGGAAAGAACATCCCTGGGCAACAAACTGGATAAATAATAAATGTAATACAAGTACAAGAATACAAAAGGAAAAGAATTGGGTTGTTTTTTTTTAAATTGGGGCAATATATATACATGTATATACTATATTATGAGGCATCGAATCGTAGTGAAATCGGGCGCTCGTCAAAATAATGAAATAGAAGAAACAGGTTTTTTTCAGCCAGTTGGGCCTTTTTAATCGACTTTTTGTGTTTTGGCTCAACACCTAGATCTATTACGTCCATAAAAAAAACAAATTTCCATGTGAATTTCACTGAAAAAAATTGATTAAGGGTACAAAATATGTAAATGTCAGTTTTCAAGGACTCTTCAGCAACTGAAGATGTCAAACTTTGGCAACCATTTTGTCGCTGATTTTTTTTCTCTGAAACCATGGGACCCTAACCTCCTTCAATAGCAAATAATATCTCGACTTTTATACATGATAGATGGGTATTTTTTTTTCATCAAAAGCAAGGCAAAATAAAAAGCATCCAGACGATAGCCATAACTCAATATTTGGGCATATGGAGTTATTGGTGGTTTCATCTTATAGGTTTTTCATTTGTCTTGCTTTTGATGAAAAAAAACATTCATTTATATTGAATAGAAGTCGAGACATTTGTGATTTAAGGAGGTGGGGTCGCCTGGTTTCATTGTTAAAATTGGAGAGAAAATGGCCGCCAAAGTTTAGTGACTTCCATAGGTTAAGGGTACTTGGAAACTGCACATTTAAATTTGTTGTCCTTTCAATCAATGTTTTTTCCATAAAATCCACACATAAAAGGGTTTTTGAATGGACATAAAAGGTGTTGAGCCAAAAAACAAAAATTCGAAAAAAAATTCCAAACTGGCCGAAATATGCTGATTTCTCTGATTTAATTATTTTGACGAGCGCCTGATTTCACCACGATGACACACACACACATACATGTATATAATATATATATATTATGCCATTTCCTCCATATGGGTAGGGGAGTGTACCTGCTCAGACTCCAGTTCAAGCTTAGGGAAGCCAACAGCGTAATCTTGTTGTTCCCCATGGCAATATTCGACTTTAACAGTACTGAAATCAGTTGGAACACAGTCAGCACAAACTGTGGAAGGGTTCCTGTATTCAGCTGCGAGAGTGTCTTGCTCTTGGGCAGATAAACTTGCTGAGGAAAATGAAGTCCTTCCAACCTCAAGTCCAAGATCACCTCTAAACAGCTTGACAAATCCCTGAGAAAACAAGACATCCTGAATTTCATCTGACACAACAGTAAGTAATGTCCAGCTATGTTTTCTAACATACTTTTTTTTGCATTCTAAGGCATTCGCTAGTGTTCATGTATAACAAACTCACTCACAGCCGCGCATACAACATTGCCTTCGCAAACACACACACTCACACATACACACACACACACACACACACACACACACACATGCGCGCGCGCACACACACACATAAAATTTCAAGAGGATACAATTTCATATCATTAAACAATCTTGAAATTTATATCTCTGTGAAAAAAACCAAACATCATAAATAGTGGTAGATATGTGAAGTTTTTCATACTAACAAAGAAATGAGTGTGAACTCAAACTATGATAGAGGGAAGGAATGCCCTTTCATTCAAAGAAAGGATCTTACATACTCTGGAAAAACAATAAAAGGTCATCCTCCCCTCTTTTCAGAAATGCAGGAGATAACATCATACAACATTGCATGGACATTTCTTACATGCTGAAACAACTGTAAAATATAGATACACTGAAATTGTTTATCAAAATATCCCTACTTAACTCATTGACCCCCAAATTGATTTCCATAGTTTTACAGTTTTGATTTTTTTTTTATCCAACTCAACTCTACTTATACTTTTATATATTGTGCTTTGACTCAAGACAATTAACGGATACAAACATAAAGACAAAGGATTGTGACTTCCCCCAGAGAAACTTCATACAAAGTTTCATTCGCATTCATAGCAGTTCAAATGAGAGACTCCTTATAACCCTGTGTATCACCAGACAGTAACATACTGTAAAAAAAAAAAAAACAACTATGATATCATCCCGGCCAACACTGGCTGCTGGGAAGGGAACGGCCGCTTGTCATTTTGGAAAGACAATTAAAATTTGTACATTGGGAGCGGCCTATCTGGTTTGATGAGTTAAGAGGTCATTACTACACTAATTTTTTTTTTAATATCTTCTTTATTGTTGAGTTGTGTGTGTGT